TAACGCTCGGCGGCGCTGGCCCTAGCGGCTGCGGCGCGCGCGGTAAGGAGAGGAAAGGAGGCGTATACCACGGAAATCGGCTGAAATGTTCAGACTAATTCCGAGCACTGGTTTAGGCATCTCTCAGGAAATCGTAACATTTTCTTCACTACATAAATAATGTTTATTTTTATTAATACATAATATATATATTTAATTATTAATGAAAATAAACATTATTTATGTAGCAAAGAAAATATTACTATTTTTTGAGAGGTGCCTCAACAACCGAGCCTATTTCTTATATAAAACGCTCCTGCGTCAGAGTTATCGGCGGCTCGACCGCCAGCGGCCGGGCGGTAGTGGGGGGACAGGAGGCGTCGTCTCTTGAATTGGCCCGAAATGTGCAACTAATTCCGAGCGCTGGATTAAGCGATAGTCAAGATGTGACAGTCACAACACAACTGTGGTTTCCGCACTCCGAACTGGCACGAACCGGTCGTTAAAACATCATCGTTTTTCCGCAAATGTTTACTTTTTTTACGCCGGCGCGTCTGGTCGACGGGCGTTTCGTGGTAGATGAAAATCAAGCGTAAAATTATTTATGGTCCTTCGGTTTATGGTAGCTCGCGCTATTAGGTCAGTCAGTCAAACCAGTCGCCCAAAAAGTCCTACACACCGGTCATCCTTCCGCGTGGAAAATGTATGCTAACGGAAGTGACGCGTTAGTTAGTCACCAGCGTGAAAGAAAGTTGGCGACGCCTTTATGTAGCTGTCAGAATTTCAAGCGGGTCCGCGCAGCGGAGAATGCAAAAGTGCGTGTGCGTGCGTGAACGCCCGTGCGATTGTGCGCGAAGAATTTCACTCGCGCTATGGATCACCGTAGGAAAGTGCTTTATCCGATCGCGACGAGCTTGGAAACGGAAGTTTCGCGTGATCGCAGAAGCAAGACCTAACCGTCGAAAGCGATACATGTGTACTGTCGCAGAACAGTAACAGCTTACCGCACTTAAATGCTATGTATCTATGAAAACTGATCTGCGTCAAAGTCTTTTTTCACTAATTTATTTTTCCTTCGATGATTACATTTAATTGCATTTTCTAAGGAATGCATCTAATATTATAGATCTTTTAATTAATTAATTTTTTACATTTAACTGAATTTTTTTTTAATAAGAAAAGTCGCGGAAGAAAAAATAGAAAATATATAATACTCCTATTAACTAGAAATAACAATATATAATAAAACTATTGTTTATTCCGTGGATCACACGACTCATTGGCCGCGTGATAAGAATGGTTACGCGAAAATTGGCAGGATCGGTTATGATGATGTAAAAAATCACAGTAAGTCACACGGCCCAATGACCGTAAATGACCCACTTATACAGAAAACTGACCAGTCCGCCTACGTTCCATTCGAACACGAATTCAAGGTAGGTTCAATGTCGCTGCACGATGGAAGGCAGATAAATGCTTACGCACACGCGTAGAAAACGATCGGACCCGCTGTGCCGGTTACTGGTATTTGTGTACCGATCCGTTACTCAGCTGACACACGAGGAAAATGCAACGAGCGTGAAAGAACCAGCGCGACGAACACAAATATATCTATAGAAATCAGCTTAAGATTCGTATCACGTCTAAATCAACATTTTAAATTCTAAATGTGCAATGTTGACTTTGGAAAACACAGGAAAATGTTAACAGAACACATAATCCTCTTGCAATTATTTTAAATAAATTTCTAAATTAAATAATAAAAAACTCTTCTTAATTAAAATTGATAGATTTTATATGCAGAGTTGCGAAAGATTTTCATCAAGAAATACGGTTCAGTTAAAAAACCGCTATTACGTAAATTTGTATTCGATAATACGGGAGCCGCCGGATATGTAGATCGATAATTTTTAAGCGTTAACTTAATATCATCCTCATTCGATAGCGAACCGTAAGAAGCGCGACTTTGGAAGAATGTGAGTTTATTTCGGTCGTTAATTCGATTATGTCCGCAATTATGCTGAATTAAAGCTACTTATAATGGGCAAATTAGAACCGATATTCCGGAGGCATCGTGCAATTTCCGTAAGACGACGTAACGGCAATTTAATCAGCAAATTGCGATCATTAAATATCGTACATTACAGAGAAACTCCTCGAACTTACGCCCGATGTTATCTGGCAGAAAACCATTGATACTCTTCCCGCGAATAATAGAGCGATCTAAAGTACTCACTTCCTGGTAGAAATTGAGGAACATAGATCGGACTTGCGATAACAACGGTATGGATCAACACATTGCTGATGAAAACGGCGGTCCAGACTTGTTTTCGCCGGTCGCACATCTGAAACACAAACAAAAGCCACAGGAGAAATTAGATTTATTTCTTGGACGCACTTGTTTCTTTTTTTTTTTATTATTAATTTTGTTATCTGCATTTCTTTTCATATTTTCAATCGATGCGTTCTTACGAATAATAAATACGAAGAATATGTAATAATAAATAACAACTAAAAATAAGTTCCACAAGTTTGCAATTGCTTATCAATGGCCTAATTGATTTTTTATCGTCGTGATTAATTATTTATTTGCAAGATTTGCAAAGCGAGCTTATTTAAATGTGATTTAGACAACACCGACCATGACATTTGTCGCGACAATATGTCTGAGAATATTCTCATGAGAATGGACGGGGTAAAGGACTGCCTCTTCGTACGTCTGGATCGTATCTAATTACGTGACGAGTCTAATTATGCGATGATTGCATTTGATTAGCACGAGGCGTCAATGTACTCGCCGCGACGTTTTAGCGCGACTCGCAGACGGTTCGTTTCGATTCGCCGCCGGATGCTGCTTGCAATTAGACGAGCGATGATCCACTTTTGAATTGTATGTCATTCATATTTCTTGTAATCCCGGTTAGATTTTGGCATGGATTGATGCTCTCGATATCAAAATGATATTGAATCGCTTGACAAATGGCTCTCAGTAAAAGGAAAACTCATTTATCTTTCCTAACAAACAGAACAAACGAACGGAAACATGTTTAACTGTGCATGTCGCAAGTACGAAACAAAGTGTAAAATATCTTCGTGATGCGGAACTAAATACAAATATTATGCAATTAATTATGACTTATTACATTAAACGCGATTTTGCTTAGTAGCCACAATTTCAGAGTAGGATGTTAACGAGAATAATTTAATAAGTTTGAATCAATTACTCACCGAGCGTGAAATTACATTCGGATTTAATTAACTAAGGATTTATACTCTTTCTTTTATCTCTTTATTCGTACTTTTTCTTTTATTACCTGACACACTTGCGGCGCGAGCACGTGTATGCGTTCGACATGCCTTTTTGACAGATAAAATTGATTGAAAATTAAATTAAAGATGGAAAGATAGTGTCCCGCGAGTCTTATGTAATTGTTACGTGCTCGACCTTTTTGCGATTCAATAAGATTCGTCCGGCCATGT